AATGCATAAATGAGAGAATTTTTTTCTGTAGCTCCTATCACAATTCTATGATGAGGATTTTTTGTTTTTGTGTTTGCAGGGGGGATAGAGGGGTTTTTTTGTTTTGTTTTTTGTTTTTGTTGTTGTTGTTTACTTTGAGATGAGGTCTTGCCATTTTGCCCAGGATGGCCTCAAACTCCAGGGCTCTAGGGATCATCTCCTGCCTCAGCATTCCACGTAGCTGGAACTACAGGTCACTTCATCATGTCTGACAGAGTGGATGAGAAAAAGTGAACCTTGATGCAGCCAAATAACAAGAAAGTATAATGTCTAGCTTATAGGCAAATTTAGTGATGGGTACAGAGAATATGAAGGAGAGTAAAGTAAGGACTTTTTTTTCAGGTATAAAATACCTGACAAGATGATCTCTAAGGCCCCTCTTCAAATTATTGTAGCAAGATCTATCTGAGCTGATGCATCTGTCACTGAGTGTGGTTACCTGAGGGGCAGTAGCTGACCCAACTGGAGCACAATATGCCAGGGTTGCAGAGTCTTTTGAATAATGCGGGGCAGCCAAGATTAGGGATAAGAACTGTGGCCTCAGTGGCACTGTGCAGCAGCTAACAGCACTGACTAAACTGAATAGAATAGGTCATCTCAGCAGATGTCCATGTAGCATCTCTAGTCCAGGTACTTTAGGTGATGGAGGTACAGTGATGTGTAAGGAACTATCCTTGTCTTTGAGGCAGTTGTAGTCCAACTGGGGAGAAGGACACAAATAGGAGAATAGCTATAAAACTTTTGAATTATAGCCAGCCATGGTCATGCACATCTGTAATCCCAGCAACTCAAGAAGCTGAAGCAGGAGGGATCATAAATTCAAGGCCAGCTGGAGCAACTTAGACCCTAAACAACTTAGTGAGACCCTGTCTCAAAATAAAAAAAAATAGAAAGGGTTGGCAATATGGCTCAATGATAAAGTACCCCTGAATTCAGTCCCCAGTACCAAAAACAAAAGCTAAAACAAGACTGTGTTTGTGGAGAATGCCAGCAGGTCTCAGCACTGAAGGCCTGAAACATTTCAAAACTTCTCATGGGTGCTGGTCCAAAGTCCCCTGGCTGCCCTGTGCCCTCAGGCTTTGCCTCATTCTTACTTTGTCATTCGTCATCTCTTTTAACCCTAGAAATGTTATGAAGCAGACTGTTATTGTTATGCCTGTCCAGGGCTGAGGATGTAACTCAGTGCAGGGTGCTTGTGGGGCATGTGTGAAGCCTTGGGACTTCCCAGTGTATCCCTGGCACTGCAAAGAACTAAATAGCACTGTGGGATAGAACTTCCTGCAGTGATGGAAATGTTCTAGACCTGCACTATAACCACATGTGGCTCTAGAGTACTTGAAACATGGTTAGTGCAACAGAGGTGCTCAGTTTGTGCTTTTATTTAATTTTAATGTTAATAGTGACGTGTGGTCGGTCAGTGGCTACTCTTAGCTTGAGCTTAGAGTCCCCAGCTTCTTCAAGACCTCGTGTGATCCAGCCTCCACTACCTGTCTTATCTCTGCTTTTCCTCTCTTCACACCCTAATCTAGCCCGCTCTGGCTTCCTTTCAGTCCTTCAGATATATCTGGTCTGTCCAGCCTCTGAATGGCTTCTCCCCTTACCCACTTCAAATCTTGGCTCAAATGTCATCTTTACAAAGAGGCCCACCCTGACCATCCCTGTCTCCTCTACCCTGTTCTTGTCTTTTTTCCCTATACACTCACTATTGCTAACATGTTATGACATTATTAGTAGTATTATTGACCCTTCCTCCCCTCACCTGTTAAGTGTCATGAAAGAGTTTTTTATCTCCTTATTTGCTGATGTATTCCCAGTGCAATTAATAGTGCCTGAAACATAATACTCACTCAATAAAGATTGGCTCACTCATAGGAATCACACCTGGCCTGCTTACCCAGACCTATGTTCTCAATCACTGCATGTTTTTTCCTCTTGGTGAGTGCAGTATTTTCTCAAAGTATATGAGAGAAGCTTCATTTGAAAGAAAAACAAGAGAAAAACAAGTGTTCCTCATCTGCCCAGTACCACTAAATCATACATGTCTTAGAAGGAAATAAACAAACCACAACTTAGACAACAGCTGTTTTATAAATGGCAGACCAGAAGACTATATCAGCTCTGTTTAAAATGTAGTGTTAGTCCTCCCACTTTACTTATAATAAACGAAGAGGAGACTTCAAGAATCGGGAAAAGAGTGGTTCCAACTTCATGGCTAGTAGAGTCCAGCGGAGCCCAGCAATGGAGAGATGGATATCTCCCTCCTCGGCATCCAGTGTGGTTCTGATCAACTTCTGGAATTTCAGCTCAGTTTGGATAAGGGCAGAGTCTGCCCTATAAAAACCCCACCTCAGAAACCCATGCCAGGATCCCTCCATCCATTTGTGGTCTTGTGGGCCAGAGCAGCAGATTTCTTAGTGAAAAGGAAGCTGCCTCTGGGATTGGAAGACCAATAGAAAGAAGAACTCTGGCATATTTCATTTTTCTTTGTTATTCCATTTAGTCTGCCAAGACTTTAACAGCCAAGAATGAAATGTTTATACATAAAATAGAGCATTTCATAGTAATTCCCTGGATGCTGAAATCGTTAGAGCTTGCCCACCCATCCTGAAGAACTCATTTTTTTCCAAGAGTGAAAGGAGTAGGATTTACTCAAGTGTGAAGAATAGAAACACGGGGCTGGGGTTGTGGCTCAGGGGTAAAGCAGTTGCCTGGCATGTGTGATTCTCAGCACTGCATATAAATAAACAAGTTAAATAAAGGTTCATTGACAACTAAAAAAATTAAAAAAAAAAAAAGGAATAGAAACAAACAAAAGACTAGAAATAGAATTATTTGTAGGGGTAAGAGGGGACCCAATATGGGTGGCCCAGGAGAACTCATTTTATCTATTGGAAGTCTTTGTTTGTTTGTTTGTTTGTTTGTTCTAATTAGTTATGCACAATAGCTCTTTTGGAAGTCTTAACTCCTTTCCCAAGGTCATTAGACCTATGATATCCTCTATTTATCAGTTTTCTATGTACCACCTACTGATACTTCACATACATTATTATTGGTCACAACTCTATTGGAGAAGCTGAGGCTTAGGAAGGTGGCCCAAAGTCCACCATCCTTAACATGTAGAAAAGCCAGTGTCTGAACCTATTGGGTTTTCTTAGCCACCTCTGAGGACAGTGTGAGCCACCATCAGCAGGTCCTCATGGAGAGGTTGTGGCTCCTCCTTTCTTATACAGAGAAGAAATTAGGTTAAAGTCATATTATTTAAAAGTTTCCTAGGGACTGTGGGTGTGGTTCAGTGGTAGAGCACTGGCTTAGCATGTGCAAGGCCCTGGGTTCCATCCCCAGCATTCAGTCAAAATAATACCTTAAAGAGCTAGATATTTATTTGAAATCTCATAATTTACCTAAGAAAGGGAACAACAATGTAAAACACCAAGAAAGAAGCCCAAGCATGGGACTTTCCTTTCACACAGTGCTTTGATCCTCTAGAGAACCACAGGGCACACAGTAAAGGTGGCACTTTGCAATCAGTAAGTGACTGTATGAGCTGGTAGCCCCAGGTAAGTGGGTGAGGTTTGCTCATGTCCCCATGTCCTTCGCACCTTTCCCTCCCTCCTGTCACTGTGGTGCACTGACCTCCCGACTCTAGCCTACTCTCTCCCTTCTTCCCTCCCGTTCATCTTCTCGGCTGCAGCTACAGTTAATCTTTTAAAAGTGTGGGTGCGGTCACAGCGCTCCCCTGCCAACAGCACCTCCATCCAGGCCACCCTGCCTTGCCGCAGGCCACCCTGCCTTGCCGCAGCCCTGCTGGCCACTCTTCCTCTTGTCACCATCACTGCGTCCTGCCCTCCAGGGCCTCAGTCTTCACAGCTGTACCTTTGCTTGTACTCTTCTCTCTGGCAGAAACGTCCAGCCCTGCCCCTGCTCGCTCATGGGTTGAACTGAAGCTCACAAAGGTAGTTTATCTTTATCTTTATTACACATAGCTCCTAATTTTACCACTATTATAGAGCTTATCAACATTGTGTCTTAGTTAATGATTTACGTGTCTCCTTCCACTTGACTTTGAGCTCCTTAAAGGCAGGACAGTAATCTGTGTTTGTATTTCCACACCTAGCTTACTGGCATACAGAGGTATAGAATAAATGTGCATTGGGCTGGGAGCGTGGCTCAGTGGTAGAGCACGTGCTTAGCATATATGAGGCCCTGAGTTCAATCCCCAGTACCAAAAGAATAAATGCACATTGACTATTAAGATGCATATATTTGCCAAATTTGGTTCCATTATTTTCTGAAGGATTTTACCTCAGTAAAGAAATACTATCAGCTTTTATTGTTTTACTCTAGTCTTATTGTAGCAGAGACAGAAATTAAAAAGGCAAAGTTGAGCTGGGTATCCAGCAACTCAGGAGGCTGAGGCAGGAGTTTGAGGCCAAACTGGGCAACTTGGTAAGACCCTGTCTCAAAATTTAAAAATTAAGAGGGCTGGGATGTAGCTCTGTGTTAAATCCCCAGTACTGGAAGAAAAAGAGAAAAGGGCAAAGCTGACTTAACCCCAAAGGCAAAAGAAGAACAGGCATAAAACTGGGATACACTTAAGTGTACCAGCAGAATTTTTTTTCTCTTGGTACTGGGGATCAAACTCAGGACCTCATCCATGCTAGGCAAGGCTCTATATCACTGAGCTACACTCCCAGGCCCCCAGCCCTTATACCAGTAGGGTGGGTTGGTTGGTTGGTTTTAATCTTGCTTTCTGGTAAAGGATTCTGGTTACTTTTAACTTACTAAACAGTGCACCCTATCATGACCTGAGGACGGCAATGGAGGAGAGCTGAATTCCTAGAAATTTCTCCCAGGAGACTTCTAATAGGTTCCTCTGGGTTTGAGTGCCCTTCTAAATTTACTCAGACTGAGGAGCCATTTAATCCAATCCCAAGTGGCTAAATCTCTCCTTTTCTCCACAGGGAAACAACTGGAAGGCATCTGGTGAGTCGGGTGGGGCCGCTCAGTGGACTGCTTTAGGAAACTGCTCAGCACTCTCAGCTTCAGGCCCCACCTGTGGCTTCCAGCTTGAAACCCAGCCCTCTGCCTCCTATACCTCCTAAAGCAGCCGTTCTCCATCAGGGTTTTTTGCCCCTCCACCCCCACCCCTGGATGTTTGGCTGTGTCCAGAGACATTTTTGTTGCAGCTAGGGGGAGGATGCTACTAGCAGCTAGTAGCTAGAGGCCTCAATGCCTCTCAGCATCCTATAATGCACAGGACAGCCCCCACAACCAGGTTTATCCACCCCTAAATGTCAGTAGTGCCGAGGTGGAGAAACCCTGACCTGTAGCCCCAGCAGCTCTCCACACCCACAAGTGCAACCAACTGTGGATTGAAAATATTGAATCTGTATTACTTGCAGGCTTTTTTCTTATTCCCTAAGCAATAGAGTATAACAACTATTTTCATAGAATTCACATTGTATTGGATATTATAAGTAATCTTGAAATGACTTAAATTATACTTGAGGGTGTGCATAGATTCTTTGCAAAAATTATACTGTTTTATATAACAGACTTGAGCATGTGTGGATTTTGGTATCTGTGGGGGGAGGGGTGTTCTGGAACCAGTGCTCATGGACACGGAGGGGCAACCATATTTATTTACTTATACCATTATTTGGTTAGTTTCATAAGACTAGTCACCACATTCACATCCTTGGGCAGAAATTATTCTCATAGCAGTATGGTGCTTGCTTTTTCTTGGATAAGTTTCCCTTTTCTGGCTCACTGTGTCTCTCTATGTGGCAGGCACACCTCCATAGTTGTGCACAAGGACGAGTTCTTCTTTGGCAGTGGCGGTATCTCCAGCTGTCCCCCGGTGAGTGTCTTCCCCTACACCCTGACCTGCAGTCTTGGGTTCCTGTGAGGACCAAGAATTTTGCTTTTACTATGTACTTGGCCTCTGGCCTAGTGTATAGAGGCCTGTGGTGTAGCCTCATAAAGACCTTAAGACTCGTTCAGGGCCTGGAGATGTAGCTCAGTGGTAGAGCACTTGCCCAGCATCCAAGACCCTGGGTTTGCTCTCTAGGACCACCACCAAAAAAAAAGGCAAGGGTGGTTGGGAATTATTCAAGAAAACCTTGCCCTTCTCTTTGCTCCCATCTCACCTGTGGGTCCTTCCTTCTGGAGCTGCTTCTGTGTCTCCACAGGGAACTATGTAAGCTCCTCATGAGCTGAGATTGGATTTTACCCTTATATCCCATCACAACATAGAACCTGGCTCACAGTAGGAATCCCATCCATGTTGAGCTGAACAGAGAGGTAAAGTGACTTGCTCAAAGTTGCACAGCCAGTAAGCAACAGCAGTCCTAGAGCTCAAGTCTCTCTTATTCATACCCCAAGCCTTTTCCAGAACATTATTTTAAGAGATATCTGAAGGTGCTCACAGGAGGTGCTCAAGTAAAGGCAACACCCATCATTCTGAGTCTCATAAGTGGAAAGCCATTTTTTTTTAATCCCAATTTGTTATATATGACGGTAGAATACATTTCTTTTTTCTTTTTATTTTTTTAAGAGTGAGAGAGAATTTTTTAATACTTTTTTTTTAGTTTTCGGTGGACACAACATCTTTATTTTATTTGTATGTGGTGCTGAGGATCGAACCCAGTGCCCCGCGCATGCCAGGCAAGCGTGCTACCGCTTGAGCCACATCCCCAGCCCAGTAGAATGCATTTCAATTCGTATTACACATATAGAGCACAGTTTTTCATATCTCTGGTTGTACAAGGGAAATGCTTCTTGATCTCATCTCTCCTCATTTCTCCAGAGCTCTCACCATAGTCCAGGCCAGCCTCATGTCTAACCTGTATTGTGGCAGTACCCTCCTGAGCTCCGTGCGTCCGCTCTTTCTCCCTCACTGTCCTCCACGTGGGAGGCAAAGTGATGTTCTCAGAGTGAGCATCGAATCCTGATATTCCCTTGCATTAACCAGAATTCTCCCACTTGCTCTTGGAATAAAACTCAGAAGGCTCAGCATGGCTCCAAGGCCCCCTGTGCTCTAGCTTGTCTCCCTCTCGGCCAGCCTCTGTTTGGGTTGCACACTCCCCACCTCTGCCCACTTCTCATTCCTGAGGCACCCATTGGACATTTAAACCTGTACTCCAACCTTTACCTGCATGTTACTCTTCATCCTTCAAATCTGAGCTCAGTGTCCCTTTTTCAGGCAAGTCTTGCCTGACCCCTCAGAAGGGGAAGGTCCGTCATATATTCTAATGGCATTTTGTACTTTCCAAGCACGACCATTATTGCAGTTTATAATTATACACTGGTTTATGTTTTTATCTGCCTTCCTGCTGGACCATAAGTCTCGTGAAGGCAAGAATCTCATATCTCCAGTGCCTATCTTAAGGCACAGTACATCGAAAATTCTTCACATGTGTGAATCATAGCAGGTCATGGTGACCCCTTAGTCTCTTACCACTCTGAGAAATTATCCTCTGACTACCTGTCCTGTTCACTGTGCCTTCCCCTAGAGCAATGTCCACTACATAGAAGGTTCTCAGTGGCCATAAATCATGACCTTTTCAGGCAGCTCTGTTCTGGGGTGTTCTCCCTTCCCAGATCTGTCCTCATCTTTTTCCTGTTACTTCCCCTTTGACTGGCATCAGTCTGTCAGCATCCTGTGGCACTGACTGAGGGTTTTCTGTAGGTGTCTCAGGCCAGCAGCTCTCTTGTCCTGTGACCATCTGAATATTAGCCTCATAGTTCAAAACTGAACTAGGTTGTGGAAACAATTGCTAACCTGCCAGATTTCTCACAGTCCTTCACATTTTCACATTGTTACAAAGAGCATCCAGTATGTCATAGGAGAAACTGGCTGTATTTTGCTGAAACCAAGGCATGGAAAGCTGGCCTTTTAGGTGTGAGCCATTTCTAGTATTCTATTCTGTCCTCGTGATCAGGCATGTTGAGGACAAAATGAGACTACAAATACTGGGTTTCTCTCTCTTTATCAACTGGATGAGTGGATTGCATAAAGTCAGACCTGCAAGAGGACCAGCTTCCCAGTTCCAACAGCAGCAGGATGCCCAATGTCTTAGCTGTGCTGCTAGCATGTGACAGTTCAAGGTCCAATAGGAAGCTCTAAGCCACTATAATCTTGATACAAACAGGAAATAACCCTCTTCATCTACCCAGAGGGCTCTGAAAGTCAAATAAGAAGTTGGAGCAGAGTGCTTGTGGTTTTCTGCAAGGGACCCCATTAAAAAAATTCAAGCAGGGCATGGTGGTGCATGCCTATAATTCCATTGACTTGGGAGGCTGAGGCAGAAAGTTTGAGGCCATCATGGGCTAATAAGGACTAGAAATATAAGTTAGTAGTAGAGCATCTCTGGGTTCAGTGCCCAGTACTAAAAAAAGGTAAAAATTTTAAAATGACCAGGGATGTAGCTCAGTGGTGGCGAGGCAAGTGTGTGCCCCTGGATTCAATCCTAGAACCCCAGGGGGCAAAAACAAAACCAAGGACTGGATGGGGGACAGCATGAAGGGTTGTAGCTCAGTGGTAGAACACTTGCCCAGCATGTGCAAGACCCTGGGCTTGTTCTCCAGCACTATAAAACAAAAAACAAAACAAAGATTGTGATTTAATGGCTTTTTTTGAATTGGCTCTTTTAGGGAGGGACATTGCTTGGGCCCCCAGATTCTGTGGTTGATGTGGGGAGCACAGAAGTTACAGAAGAAATCTTTCTGGAGTACCTGTCCTCCCTGGGGGAGTCTCTGTTCCGGTGAGTGAAGGTGGGGTGGGAGTGATGTCTGTCTCCCTGACTAGATAGTCAGCCCCTGGTGGGCAGCCACTGTGTCTGTCCTGGAGCACTCAACACAAAGCCTGGTACAATTGTTACTAAATGAATATGAAGAGAAGGCATAAAAAGAGCCCAAGGTTGTTGGCGACAGATACTCTACCCCAGCATACTTTCTGCTGAAACTTTTAGAGGAAAGATGGGCTGTTCGTTCCTGCTGATGAAAAATCAGTAAATGCTGTTCTCAGCCTCTACTGGCCAAGTGCTTTGTCCTGAACATCAAAAGCAGGGTTTGTAGCTGGATTGGGATGAAATGCAAACATAAGCAGATTTTCTCTTAAGAAGCTTTAGTCAGTTTAAAAAGAGTTAAATGCTACTGCTCTGCTCATGTGAATGCAGACTCCAAAACTGCAGGAGCCGTTCATCCTTCTAACTTGGTTGTCAAGGACCAGTGGGGCAGAAGGTACTATCCTTGGCATGAGGGACCCTTGCAGTCCTCACCCTCAGCTGTGCTCACCTTTCTACTTCCTGGTTTGAGTAGTTTCACATCGATGCTTCCTGGCTTTCTCATCCATTTCCAAATCTTTCTTACAATGCCAGAGGTGAAGCCTATAACCTCTTTGAACACAACTGTAACACCTTCAGCAACGAAGTGGCACAGTTCCTGACTGGGCGGAAAATCCCTTCTTACATCACTGACCTGCCCTCTGAAGTTCTCTCCACGTAAGTTGAGCTCTGTCTTTGCCCTGCCTTGGCCAACCTTGAAAATCCCCACTCAGTGCCCCTCCCCTGCCCACATCTGCCTTCCCTACTGGCAGCAGAATCCTTCCAACCAGGCAGACCTGTCCTGACAGCAGGTTCTACCACCAAAGGCCACCATTCTCCCCACCTGCTAATGCACACCTGTATCATGTTCACCCTGCTTGAAGTTAGACCGTGGGCCTGACACAACTGCACAATTTAGAAACCCACTTCAATATTTGGACAAAATCCTGGCAACTATCTTTCCCATCATGCACAAAGTGTGCCCTCCCCCTGCAGTACCAACTTAAGTGCAGTGTTGGGTAGATGTGGAGAGGAGGTCTGAGGAAGAGCAAGGTGGCTTATTTCACAACTGCTGTTGCTTTCTTCCATTTCCCCCTGACAACTTTGATTCCCTCAAAACCAGGTTCTGGGCTGGGGGTTCAGGAAGTACAGCACTTGCCTCAAAAGCACAAGGACCTGGGTTCAATCTCCAGCACTGCAAAAACAAAAAGACCTACTTCTGCTTGCCCATGAACAGTCCTCAGTAGTTTTTTTGTCCTATTCAGTGATGGGGATTGATCTCAGAGTTGTTTTACCACCAAACCACATCCCCAGCTCTTTTCATTTTTTATTTTGAGATAGGGTCTCACTGAGTTGCCCAAGCTGGCCTCAAATTTGCAACCTTCCTGCCTGAGCCTCCTGGGTTGCTGGGATTTTAGGTGTGTGCCACCACACCCAGCTTTACTAGTTGTTTTCTTCAAGGACACTTTGTAGCTCCTCTGCCTTGATGTTGTCCCAGCCCTGGAAGGCTTATGGGCCACCATCCATGGAGTGTCATCCCCTAAAAGGGCACACACCTCCAAAGCCATCCCACCTTCTCCCTCCCTTTGCTGTTTACTGGTTCAGGCAGCCCCTGCCTGCTCCAGGACCATGTTTATTTATAGACTCAGTTTCTCCTGAAGTAGGGTCCTGCCCAACAGGATGTTTAGCCGGCAGGTTTAGCCAGCTCCACAAGGTGAGCTGTTTTTCACACCTGGGTAGAAACCTCTCACGAAACACTTGCCTAGGAAACAAGACTGCTGAAGAGCCCCAGCCTCCCAGCCTTGGCCCTGACCTCCTGTTCCTTGGTGGGTATGTGCAATCCCACAGCCCTGCTGATGGATCTAGGTTATGGGGCCCTGAGCAAACTTGCACAGCCGGAATGTTCTTGTTGTTATTATTTGATGGGTGGAGTTCCTGGACTTGTCTGAATTAGGGTTGATGTTTCTAGGTTTCATCTGTTTACACTTTGGAGTACTTATTCCCTTGAACTTGGGGATGATTTTCAAAACGGCAGCACCACTGGAGAAAAAGCCTGTGCTTGAGGTGTGTTGTGGACCACCTTATTTAAGGGTGTAGTTACCATGAAAAGCCTCCAAACTCCAGTATTTGCAGTGACTTTTCCAGCTAAGTTACTAGGAGAGAAAGCTTAGTGTCCTTTAGAAAATGAATCAATATCTTCTGACAACTTGGCCACTTTTTTTCTGAATATTCCCTGGAAGACTTCAGTTCCTAGAAGAATCTAGTTGTGTGCCATTCTCACTCCTGACTTATTCAGATCTTTTTTGTTTATTTCTTTTTAGTTTTGCATAACTATATTTTTTTTCTTTTGCCTCAGTTTCCCTGGTTCAACTTAATTTTTACTTTCTTCACAAAAATTAAAGACATATGTACATCAAGTACAGAAAAGCTGTAGTTCCCTGTGGGTAGGCAGCCTGTTCAAACCATAGCTTACCAGACCTTAGAGCCATAGATAGCAAAACTGTAGTACCCACTAAGGAGGGGCCCCCATTAGTGACAGCACAGAGCAGGCTCCTTGAGAGATGCCCTTTGTATTAGTCAGCTTTCCATGACTGTAACAAATACCTGAGATAAGCAGCTTATATTGAGCAAAAGTTTATTTGGGCCCAGTTTCAGTCCAGAGTTGCTTTGCCCAATTGCCGTTGGGCTTGCAGTGAGGCACCATGGTAGGAAGCAGAGAGAGGAGAAGGAGAACATAGGCCCTCTGTATCCAAACCATAGCCCTGCCCTTGCCAGCAGCCACCTTCCACTGTCTGTCTGTGGGCAGAGCACACCCAGAGCCCACCCAGCTCTTGTCTGTTTCCCCGCAGGCCCTTCGGACAGGCACTCCGACCGCTCCTGGACTCCATCCAGATCCAGCCTCCTGGAGGGAACGCTGTGGGCAGACCCAATGGCCAGAGCTAACAGGACTGCACGGGACCGCCCGCCTCTCCAGGGCTTTTCCTTTTTAAACAAAACAAACCCTACCAGATTTCTATTTTATAATTTTACATCAGAGCTAACAACCAGGGGACGGCTTTTTAAAAATCCCAGGGAAGGAGATCGTCAGGCCGCATGTAGGACAATGCTGCTAAGAAACAGAACAAAATGCCACCCCTTCTAATAGTATTATACTAATTTATTAAGGCTGTCTTGTCTGTGAGTTCACTTTTGACGCTGTTTCCTAAGCGTCCTCCACACTGGAGAAACGGAGGGGATTTGTTTAAGCAAAAAGCAAGAGGCACAGTTTGGAGGAGCCCCAACCTAGAACCTCCTTCCAGAGAATACCCACACTCCACCCAGGTTGCCACACCTGTGGGACCCAGGTGAGTTTTACAACATCGTGACCAGAAGCAGTTACTCTCTAGTGGTTCAAGCACCAAAGGATTTGGTACACTTGGGACCAGTTGCAGGGTGACTAACCCAGCCTAAGTGAACTCTTTAGCTGCAGCTCCCCGAACCTCCCTCCCCTGTCCCAGCCCATGGGGCCAGGGCTGGAGCAGCTAGAGCCTCAGGATCACAGGAGAGTGACAGCAAGAAAACAGGATAAAGCCATTCCCCCTTCCACCTGGACTGATTGCAAAATTTTCTGCCATCAGTTTTGGAAAACCTGTTTGCTGTCCACCACAGTGCTCTCTCCCTCAGCATAGCTGACCGACGGTCATGGCTGAAGGTCCGGGCTTGTGCAACAGAGACCCAAGCCTTCTGTCCGCAAACAATGATGAAGGTAATTTGCAGTCACTTAGAACCACCCACCCAGACCGATATGCAGTATTCAGCTAGGGACCAAGGGGATATGATTCCCTGCTCTAGGAAGATACCCCTGATGTAGAAAGAATAATGTTGCAGAATCACGGTGGCAAAAAATTTAGAATTGTTTCCAATAGGAACTTTTACATTATCCTAAATATGTTTTGAAGGCACATGTCATTTCCATTGTCATTCTGGCTTTAAGGAGGCCTGGTTGGAGTGTGAGAGGGCATTTTCCTAAAGACTTGCTGCTAGAAACTCATGGGCAGGGAACAGTCTGGAATCCTGGATCTGGAGAGGCTCTCTGACTTCCTTTCTTTACACAAACCAGTGAGTGAGGAGAAAGGACTCGGCTGCCAGGTGCCTAAGTCGTGGCTCTCCCCCTTGGGTCCCTGCCACTTCTAAACTTGAGTTCAATTGCTCCTTCCGGGGCAGGCGCCTTTCCTCCCCGAAAAGCTGCTGCTCATCCCTGGCCCCATCCCCACCGTCTCTGCCATTATCCATAGCAGTTGGCATCATCAGGGTCTCAGCTAGAGGAAAAGATGTCATTCTGCCTTAGTATTTGCTGTGATCTGACCAGGGCCATGTCCAGCTGGGATACCAAGTGACATTAACTTTAAGATTAGAGGCCAAATGAATGAGCAGTCTCATTCTTCTCAAAATCCACTAAACTGCTGGTGGACATAGATAAATTACAGTGGAAACCAACAGGGATTCTTTAATATTGATTCACTTGTGGAATTGGCCCAGGAAGAACGGGTGTCCGAAGCTGGGTTTCTTCTGGGCAGGTGGCAGGTTGGTCTCAGCCATCGCCCTGCCTCCCACCAGTTGGCTCTTCAGCTTGCCTGGCCCAGAACTCCCTCTTCCCAGTTCCTGCTCCAGAGCTGTCTTCTCTATCTGGAGGGCAGTGGGCTGTTTTCTGCCATGTCCAGGCTCAACTGGTTTTGCTCCTTGCAGCAAGTCACCCTCAGGCCCAGAGTTATTCTGAGTGGCTCCCCTGAGGGAATTTGAGTCATTTGATTCCTCAAAAAGTCCCCCCTTCATGCCCAGCAGCCATTCGTGCCAATGTGGGGAGATGGAGGGGTGAGCAGCCTCCCAGAACTCTGCAGGAGGCAGACTCCCATCCCCCTCTGCAAGCCCCACTGTCACTCTCTGTGGTAGCCCAGGCCCAGGCTAGGACCCTAGCACCATCCTCCCCTCTCTCTGTCTATCCCAGAACCTCAGGGGCATACTTGTGACCAGCTAACTCCATGTGGGCATGTACAGGCAAACAGAATGGGAAATGAGTCATATCTTTGTGTTACACAGTGGACACCTCTATAGACGTCCATTGGTTTTAAAGGGTCAGAGAAGGAAGAGGGATGAGACCATTCCCCTCTCCCAGAAATAAATCTTGTACCTTCGAGATTCCTTTATGCCCTTGAAGTCAAACTAAAAATTGTGTCTAGTATGGAGGTGTCTGCTGGTTGACATTGGTGTTTTTTCTAATGCAATAAACATTTCTGCCTGCTGCTTTGTGTGGTGCTTGGGTCCCATCTGGGTGTGTGTCCAGCCTGAAGCAACCCTAGGCTTTTCTGTTTTTCTCTGAACTTAACCTTGCTGAGCCTGGAGCTGCTGCCTTTGCTTGGTGTAAACCTTGAGGATGAGCAGAGATAGCAAGGCAGACAATATGGCTTTCTCTCTTGATTGATGGAAGATGGGAAGTTGGGTGTGGTGGTGCACACCTATAATCCCAATGATTAGGAGGCTGAGGCAGGAGGATTGCAAGTTTGAGGACAGTCTCAGCAACTTAGCAAGACCCTGACTTAAAATTTAATTTAAAAAAAGACTTGGGGAAAAAAATATTTAGCCAAACATTAAAAAATATATGTCAAGATGGAAAAAAAATAAAAGACTGATGATATCGCTCAGTGGTAAAGCACCCTTAGGTTCAATCTCCAGTACCCCCCACACACACACACCAATAAAAAAGATGGCTAAAAGGCTCAGAGGGAATTCTTGCCCCAGGTCACCTTGCAGCTAGTGGTGGAGTGGTTTCAAATTCTAAGGTCTTCCCCAGAAAAAAACTTGGCCATCAGGAGGGTGTGTGGCCTCACTTACCAGAATTGTTTACTTCTTTCATCTTGGCTAACGGCTGGGTCTCTGGTTCCCAGGGTCTCTCCCCACCTTGCTGCAGTGATCTCACTGAACAAGTGTTGGGGCTGATGTTGGCTCTCAGAGTGAACCCAGGAGACCCACTTCATGTGAGCCATTTCCATGAGCCTGACCTGTGCTGGGTGCTTTCACACATGACAGGCTTGAGGTGTCCCATTTGACAGGACAGAGAACCAAAGTTATCCAGTTGGCTGGTGGCTGAACCTGCCCTTTCATCCAGACCATGTTTTCTCAACACCCGCTGCTGTGGCGTCCCCACCGACTTCCCCACTGAGGCACTGTTTTCCTAGTGTGCTAGTTTAGGAATGACACAAGATTCTGGCTCCTTCCCGGGGGTGCGGAGTGCAGTTGGCTTTACTGACATACCCGCTTCCTGAGGACAACCTGTTCAGAGGAAGGAGTCCCTGAGACTTACTCAGGTCACACACTGGAAGATAAGTCCCAGCTTTGCCACTGGAGGGGCCTGTCCAGTTCAGTGACCCTGTAAGATGGAAATGGCACCCACCTCACCTTACAAACTCTTGCAGTTGTGCTTCCATCTACCTCTGGAGGGAAGGGCAGAAAACAGGTGTTTTCCCCAGACTTTGCAACTCACAGCCAGTCAGTCTGAGGTGGTTCATTCAACCCCACAGCCATTTCCCTGGGACCAATATGTGCAGCCACCGCACTCTGGTGGTGAGCACTGTTGGCAAGGCCCTACCTAGGCAGGTGAGGCTAGGAGAGTACAAGTTAGGGGATCCCAAATGGTGATGGTGCCAGAGAAGTAATAAAGCCAGGTGGCAGCATTGTGTGGAAGGAGGGATAGGTTAGGTTGGGGAGGCTTCTCTGAGGACATAATATTTAATCTGTTACCAGAATGATGAAGACCACAGGTCTTGGGGGTTGGATTCCTAGCAGAGGGAATAGCTAGTGAGAACGCTGGAGGGTCCAAGAGAACAGAGTAGGTGGGCAGAGAGCAGCAGGAGGTGCAGGACAGGGACTTGGGGGTGAACAAGCAGGAGAGTGGGTGGTTCCCATGTGCTATTCATGGTGGGAGGGGCGCATATGGTGAGAGGCTGCAGCAGGAAGCCTGGGAGGAAAGCAGTGGGGTTGGGGCAGCAGGTGCACAGTGCACAGAGGTGTGCTTGGTGCTGTGGAGAAGCCCTGGACAAGACTTTGGAGCTTAGACAGAACCACCGCCCTGCCGTATGGCCTCCTGTAGCTACCCCAGCTTTGAACTTGGAATGTGCCTTGATTTCTGTGTAAGGAATGTGTTTCAGAGCTGGGGGTGTAGCTTAGTTGATGGAGTGCTTGTGTGTAAGGCCCTGAGTTTGATCCCCAGCACTGAAGAAAAAAAAAAGAATGTATTTAGAAAATCGAAGTAAGGGCTGGGGATGTGGCTCAAGCAGTAGCACGCTCGCCTGGCATGCGTGCGGCCCGGGTTCGATCCTCAGCACCACATACAAAGATGTTGTGTCTGCCGAGAACTAAAAAATAAATATAAAAAAAAAAGAAAGAAAATCGAAGTAAACAATAAAAGTACAAAGATGAAAAAAAAATCACCTGAAATTCCGTCATCCTGAGAAACTACCAACCTTGCAGATGTTTCAGGACATCTGAAGGTGCAAACGCTAACCATGCTCTCTGGAATCTCACTTTGTTGTAACATGCAGTGAGGAGGCACAGGTCGCGGTGGTGCTGGGGTAGAGGGAATTCTAAGAGAACCTTCCAGCAAAGTTCCCCAGTGCCTGAGGGAACTGTCAGGCAGCTGTGGTGGGGGCAGGGACCTGCTTGGGAGTGAGATGGTAGTTTAGGGGAATACCTGCCCAGGCTGGTTGGGAACCAGACTGAGACTCACTGTCCTCATGCCCAGATAGTGGCTCTGGCCTCAAAGAGTGACATAGAGCCCTTTAAAATTAAAAGTTCCAAAGGGTTTTCAGCTCCTGAACTTCCTCTGCTGAGAATGGCCAGGTGTGTTGCCAGGGAAGCTTAAATGGGACGCGTTCTCAGGCTAGCGCAGCCTTGCTGAATCTGCATTTGTATCTCTTCTGATTTTTGTTTCTATAAATTCTAAAATCTTCTGTAACACCCGGGATCGGTCTGTTTCTCGCCAGTTCAATACTGGGATTGAACCCTGGGGCACTTTACCACTGAGTAACATCCCCCTTTCTATTTTTTTTGAGACAGAATCTCAATAAATTGCTTAGGGCCTCACTGAATTGCTGAGGCTGGCTTTGAACTTTTAATCCTCCTGAGCCAGTGGGATTACCTGCGTGCGCCACCACGCCCGGCTCCCAGTTCTCTATTTTTATTTTATGACAGGGTCTCACTAAGTTGCCAAAGCTAGCCTCGAACTTGCAATCCTCCTGCCTCAGCCTCTGCTCCTCCCGAAAGTTAAACTGTGGAAAATCGTTTTTCCTTTTTACATCCTTATTTCTTATGCGAGTCCACGGCCAGCCACAATCCAGGCAGGTTTCCTGGTTTGGCTGCCGATAACAAGAGGGCAGGCAAAGAGCCCAGCAAGGGTCTGACACACAACTGAACGTGATTCCTTGACCAAGGCGCTGGAGGCTTTGGAAAGATGGGAAGCGGCTGGAACTGATCTGGTGTGCAGGATCAGCTGGAGAGAGCCACTCACGGTCACGAGGCCATAAGGGAGGTGAACACCAGGGGGCGCTGTGGACCAGCATACCCGGCCCGGCCCACGGCCCAACTCCGGACATGCGGAGTTCCGCACATACCTGGGTCACTGCTTGGTCTAGTAAGAGTCCACGGGGTGACAGCCAAACACCTTGCCCTCACGTTATCAAGGCCCTTCTCATGATCCAACCCCACGCCCTGCCTCAATTGCCAGTCCTTTGTCACGCAGGTGGTTTCACAACCTCCATGGCTCAGTCCACATTTGCTCCACCTGGATCCCTTTTTCAGCGCTTTGGGACCAGTGGTGTCCTCTTCCCACGAGAGCTGTCCGCCTGACCCCGGGGTTGCCTCCGGCACACTCCCACCAACCCAGCATTGAACAGACATCGGCTGGAGGGGGTAGGTCATCAAAAAAGAAACTGGTCCTCAATTCCAGCCCACCTGGATTGAGACCTTGAGACCTTGATCAAGTCCTTCCCCTCCCTGGGCTTTTTTTCATCTGTAGGAAACCGTGTATCAGATGGTCCCAAAGACCCCTCCTAGTGTGACTCCTCTCCCCACCCCTGGCTTGAACAATCAGGAAAGAACTTAACCAAGTTCTTCCAGTAGCTGGGGCTGGGCTCTCATCCACTGAAACCACTGATCTGTCCCCACTGGCTAAGAGCCCCATGGGACCTGAGCCAACCCAGCAACAGCTTCCACTCTCTCCAACAAACACGATCTCTGAGCATGCGTCCTTTGCCCTTCAAGTGTTCAAATTCAATTATCTATTGTGAAAACAATGTAAACCCTGTAGGTATTTTGAAAAGGAAAACAAACTGTGACAGCCCTTTGCAGTGCCTCTTTAAAAACACCTTTTTCCCTACTCCCCTCAGCTTCCTGGCAGCATTGCTGGCCCCATCCCTAGAAGAGGAATGGCTGAGAGTGGAAGGCACCTGCTTAAGGCCAGCTGCGGGGAAGAGTAGCCCACAAACTGACACGGAGGTTGCCCACCTCCAAACCCAACAACACAGAAGAGGCTGCCCACCCCTCAAAAGATCACATTCCAGGTAGAGAAAAAGAAAGTCAACAGCCCCTATATTCTTTCAGTGCGTTGACTTCTACACTGCCTGCACCACCAGGGAGGAGCCAGGAGAAAGCATAGGATTTGGGGGTACAGAACTGAGACGGGAAACCTGACTGTGCGTGTGACCCTAGGAAAATCACTGCATTTCTCTGGTGTCAGCACCTACCTCTTGAATTTGGGTACTTCAGAGAGAGATTGGGAAACATAAGAAAAATGCTCAAAGTGGGAGCTACACCGCGCCCACCAAACATGAATGTCACTAACCTTCAAACCTCAGGCTCGTGTTTGTCTCAGAAGAGCCCAGGATCTTCTTTCCTGAAAAGAACCCTGCCAGGTTGGGGTCTCAGGCCCTCTGGTTCAGTCCTGGCTTCCTCTGGTACTCTCAAAGCCACCCTTCTGGCCAGTCCTCCCTCCCTGTCTTGCTCCTTCCTTTCCCCAGGGCCCCATCTGAGCACCAGTTGCCAAGGATGAGTTAAAGGGACATACTGGAGGCCGCAGGGATTTTCCCCCCCTGGTATCCCTGGGTCTGTGCTTCAGAGCCAGTCACCTGGGTTTCAGGTGAAATGCCTGTGGTTGAAAATTCAGATGAGAAGCTATAGAAACTGTGTTGTAAGAAGACTAGTTCTCTGCAGTCTAAGGCATGGGTGTGGGGACAAGGGAACTTATCTTTGTCTTTGGAAAGGTGGATCCAGTTCTAGGAAGACAAAACCTCATCCTACCTGGTGGACAGCATCCCAGAACTACCTGATACCCATGCCAAGGGCGGGTTCCAGGAAACTGCATTCAACCAGTGAAACAGGGATCACCTGTGAGGTATCATAGACTAAATCTGGGTAATTCCAGTCCCATGCACAGGCACTAGACAGGCCCTGCCAGAACCAACTCAGAGCAGGTCAGGACAGAGCAGGGCTGGGTGTATAGCTGAGGGATAGACCACATGCTTTTCAGCACCACAAAAACAAAACAGTTAGCTGTCCACATCAACAGCACATACAAAAGCCCCTGGGAGGTGAGACCCTTAATTTGTTCCCGGCAGTGCTCCAAGGACCCAGAGGAGTGTCAGGCACAACATATTGTTGAAGAATCAAACTCTGCCACCAGGGCCTGGAAAAAGACTGACTTTTCCTTTGACCTCTGACTCCAACATGGCCTCTCAGCATATTCCATCACTGATCCTGTCTTTAATTTTTTTTCATACTTTGTTCACAGATGAAAAAAAAATATTACATTAAAATATTATCTTGACACCCAGGCAAGTGGTGCACACCTGTAATCCCAGTGACTACTGAATTTTTTTTTTTTTTTTTTAGTTCCAGGGATAGAACCCACAGCCTTACACATGCTAAGCAAGTTTTACATCCTCTGTGATTTTTAAAATTGTTGTTTAAATTTGAGACAGGATCTTGCTAAGATACTGACATTGGCCTGACTTTGAGGTCCTCCTGCCTCAGCCTCCTGAGTAGCTGGGATTACAGGCCTGTACCACTGGGCCCAGCTTGATTACAGAACTTTTGATGCCTCTTAAAATTAGCACCTGCAGGGTTGGGGTTGTGGCTCAGCGGAGGAACGCTCACCTAGCATGTGCAAGGCCCTGGGTTCGATCCTCAGCACCACATAAAAATAAATAAATAAAGGTATTGTATCCAACTACAACTAAAAAATAAATATTTTTTTTTTTTTTAAAATAGCACCTGCAGTAAGTGCTTCCCTTACCTTTTCTGACTCCACCTGGCTGAACTGTGGCTGCTGGGAGCTCTGTGAAGTGTAAGGCACACCCCTCTCTCTTTAGCAGGTGGAGGAATTAGCACCTCCTAGACTTGCTCCCAGAGCAAGTGAAAATATGTGGTCAAGCATCCAGTATGCTGGCTGCCCCATGCCAGAGGATGGGTAAATATCAGTTTTTACTATCTCACCTTTCATACTCCTGTCAGGTGGGTTTACATCCCCATTATATAAATGCAGAACCTAAGGCCCAGCAAGGTATGATGACCTATCCACATCCTTAAAGTTAGCTGGAACCAAACTGCAATTCTCCAAACTCTGACTCTGATGATCTCTGCAGGAAACCACTACTACCTGACAGAAAAAGAACCAGGTCTACCAAAGGAACTGTGAGCAGCAGTACCCTTCATAAGTATGTGGGTGTATATGACCCAAACTGCTGTCAAGGACAGAATTACAACAAGTAATTTTGAGGGTCTAAGTGGGTCTCATTTTCTATTTTAGAATTGGGCAATACTTGTTGGGCACAGGGGCCCTTCCAGTGGCTCAGGAGGCTGAGGCAGGAGGATCACAAGTTCAAGGTCAGCCTCAGCTGAGAACCTAAAGCAGTTTAGCAAGACCCTGTCTCAAAACAAAAAATAAAAAGGGCGGGGGAGGGACTGGGGTTGTGGGTCAGTGGTAGAGAGCTTGCCTAGCACACATGAGGCACTACATAAAAATGAAATAAAGATATTGTGTCCACATACAACTAAAAAATAAATATTAAAAAAAAAAGGTTGGGGGACTGGGGCTATAGCTCAGTGGTAAAGCATTTGCCTAGCATGTGTGAGGCACCAGGTTCGATCATCAGCATCACATAAAAATAAACAAAAGCATTCTGTCCATCTACAACTACAGAATTAAAAAAAAATAAAACAAAATTGGGGGTGGAAAAAGAGGTCTGGAGATGTGGCTCAATGGTTAAGTGCTCCTGGTTTCAATCCCTGGTACTACTGCTACTCCTACTAATAATAATTGGGCAACACTTCATCCCATAAAATAGAGCAAGGGTTCCCACTGAGCTGAGAAGAGGTTTGAGATATATATATATATATACACACATACACACACACACACACATATACATACATATATATGCATTTTATATAATATATATAAATATATATGTATATATATATATATATATATATGGACACACTACCTTTATTTTATTTTACTGTTTATTTTTTATGTAGTGTTGAGGATGGAATTCAATGCCTCACACTTGCTTGGCAAGTGCTCTACCACTGAACCACAACCCCAGCCCAGTTTCTTTATATTTCTTATTTTTTGCACTACTGGGGATTGAGCCCAGGGGCACTCTATCTCTGAGCTATATTCCCAGCCCATTTTATGCTTTGAGACAGGGTCTCAGTTAGTTGCCTCTCGCCCTCTGGTGGGGGCAAGAGGCTCTCGGAGCCCTCCCGCCCCAGAGTTTGCAGGTCTGAGGCTGCTCAAATTTAGGATCCTCCTGCCTCAGGTTGTTACCGCTGTTGGCCGGTGACGAGTCCTTGCTTCCCCAATGTTGAAGAATAACACCAAAGAAGCACACCGAGGCAAGGTCAGAGTAGAAATTAGATGTGTATTAAAGGACAGCAGAAAAGACTTCTCCCGGAGGAAGAAGGGTACCCAAGAGGTGGAATCCGTGGAAGTGCGGTTGTCTCCCCTTTTTATAGTTTTGGTGATGGAATGTAGGTGGGAAGGGTTGGGACACAGGTGGGCCAAACAAGTAATCTGGGCAGGAAGGACTTCATTATCACTTCTTTGGGATGGGCTATCTCCAAATCTGTTGGGGGCTGTTTCCTGGGTTCCATTAACATTTCTTTGGGGTGGACTTTGGCCTAGGGCCTTTCTGGGACTTCATTAACATTCCATGAGTTGTCCTGCGTTTCCTGGAATCATTATCAGTATGGCCTCCATTTTAGATTTCACTGATATTAGACCCGATTTACCTAACTACACTGACTACCTAATTTTTAATCTGGCTTCAAGGTGTCCCTGGGATCACAGGCATGGGCACCATGCTTGGCAGTAGGTTGGTTTTACAGACAGGGAAGAGCCCAAGAAAGCAGAAATAAAAAACAGGTTAGTCACTTCAAAGTTACTTTCCTTCTCAGGTAAGAATAGGGAGATAGAAATATATAAAACAGCAAAACAAGGATCAATAGCGCTTGCCTGTTGAAAGACCCCCGAGACCCCAACCCAGAATTGAACACGCGAGTCACTGGATGCAATCAGCAGGAGGAGTTTATTCTCACACAGGCGCCTATGGGTGCGAAGCAGAACCTCGGCCGTAGCTTTGGCAGCTTGCACACACGGACTCGGGGTTACAGGGTTTTTATAGGGTGCAAGGGACAAGATTCCAGCTTAGCACAGTAACAGCTATTTTATTGGCCCCCTCTCAAGTTCCCCTAAATTTTTGCCCTCAGGTCACGGGGGGCAGAGTGGTTTTTTGTGCAAGACTTGAGGGGGCTACGTGCTGCTGGGGGAGTTTTGACATGAGGGTGTTAACATATGGGTTACAACAAGGGGGGTGTGGGGCATGGGTTGCTGTTAGGAGGAAGCATCTTGTGACTGCAGGGCAAAAGGTTATATTTCTTAACATTAAGCTTAAGGCTTTGAGGCTGGGGTCTTTCACTGTAATTCCAGCGACTAGGGAAACTGAGGCAGAAGATCACAAATCCGAGGCCAGCCTCATCAGTTTAGCAAGGCTCTAAGCAACTCAAGAGTTACCCTGTCTCAAAATAAAAAATATAAAGGGCTGATGATGTAGTTCAGTGGTAAAGCACCCTTGGGTTCAATCCCTAGTACAAAAAAAAAAAAAAAAGTGGGATCTGAGCAGGCTTCTTTTTTTGGGGGGGCGGTGGACCAGGTATTGAACCCAGAATCCTTTTTTATTTTGAGACAGGGCCTCGCTAAATTGCTGTGACTGGCTTTGAACTTGCGCTCCTCCTGCCTCCACCTGCTGAGCAGCTGGGATTGCAGGCGGCGCCCAATTTGGACAGGATACTTCACGGAGGCGGACGAAGAGCTGGGCCTTAGGAGTGCACGAATGACATCAGGAAGGCTGTCAGACAAAGTCCAAAGCCTGAGCCATGAGGAGATTTGCAGTTCAAGCCTTGTAGGGCAAAGGGACTGCCCTGGAAATCTTGGCCGCGGCGAGGGCGAGTCCGACCTGCCCAGCCGGGCCTTGCTCCGTCCTTCCGGATCCCTCCGCAGCCGTCGTCGCAGACCCGGTTCGGCGAGCAGGCTCAGGCCCCGCCTCCGGCCCGCGGGACGCTGTGCCACGCCCCCGCCAGAGCGCCCCAGCCTCCTCTCAGCGGGCCCAGACCCCGCCCCCGTCCGCCCCACCCTAGCCACGCCCCCTCAGCGCGGCGCCGCCTGGCGGGCTCCCGGCCCCGCCCCGTCCAGCCTCCGCCCGGCGCGACCTGGGCGGCCGCATCCAGTGACTCCGCCCGGCGCGCGGAGCTGCAGCCATGGCTGTCACCGCCGAGGGCGCCCGAAGGAAGGAGCGCGTCCTCTGCTTGTTTGACGTGGACGGGACCCTCACGCCGGCTCGCCAGGTAGCGCCCCGACGTTCCGAATCCCCGGCCCGGAGTGTCGCGCGGACCCGCGAGGGCAAGCATGGGGCCTGCGGCGGCGTGACCGCGGACACTCCCGGTCCCGGTGTGGGATGCAGCGGTTCCCGCCCTTGCCCTCCTAGGGCCGAGCTCCCCTGGTGAAGGGGACCTTGGTACCCGTGCCCCAGCCTTCCGGGCGTCCATGCCCTGACCTTCTCGGGAGCGCTGAGGCTAGTTCCAGTCCTGGAGGGAGGGGGCTGTGGATGGGGGCTCGGCTCTTTCCCCGGGAGGGTTCCGTACGGCGAGGCCTGGCTCCGGGGCTCGCACCCCTTCTCAGCCCTAGGATGCACCAGTAGTCGAAGCTGGCATCTGAAGCCATGGTCCCAGCAGGGCCTGGCGCGCGCCGAAATGTCAGCGTCGCCCTCTGGTGGGGGCAAGAGGCTCTCGGAGCCCTCCCGCCCCTGAGTTTGCAGGTCTGAGGCTGCGTTTAGTTTCTCAAGCCACCCGCCCACCTTCCACCCGTGTCATGGAGCAGAGAGGGCTGCTTTCCTTTTTCGGGGGCTCCATAAACCTGGAGGTGGTTACAATGGAGCTACTGAGGCACAGTGAGAATGGAAGTGAAGTTCTCCTTCCGAATCAACCCGTGGGGCCATCCTCCGACCTCTGCACCGCACCCAGTTTTCTCCCTTTGCTCTCATCGTGGGCGAGTCCTCAGACCCACCCTCACCAGCTGGATGCATGAATAAGCAGGCTTCACTGGTGCCCACCCTGTGGGTATTCCACCCTCCAGCATGAGGGCCCCAAGAGCCACCGGAGGTTCCTCCCGTAGCAGGAGTAGTGGGGATGTGTTTCTAGGCAGAGGCTGATGGGAACCCAGGTCTTAGCCTCCCATGGCCCCTCCCCTCCCCTTTAGCCAAGTTGCCTTGGCTAGGGATGGGGTTTTGGAAAGGGATCAGCCCCCTTGCTGGGTGTGGATCCCGGAGCCAAAGGCAGCCTGGAGGGAGGGTGGTGGGGCCTAAGCACACCTCCCCCCACCCTTTACTGTATCCCAACAGCCTGAACAAGGACTGCCTGTTTATTGTCCACTGCAGGCCCTGTGCTTTGCGTTTTTCAAAAGTAAAATTTCAATTATACATGTGTTCACAGGACACATTCATTTTTGTAAAGAATGAAAATAATATAATAGGGAAGGCTAAAGTCCCCTCCGAACCCACAAGGAAGGGGCTCAGCCCCCTCCCCAAAGTTGCTTGGGTGGCTTCTTTCCAGACCTTTATCTGGAACTATTTGCCCAGTGAAAATATTAGGCATTGTTTTGTAAGGCTATTTTTAATTAAGTGGCATTATACTATATGTGCCTTCCTGTGACTTGCTTTTGGTAGTTAACATCGTGTCTTGGGATCCTATTACATTGAAGCACAGGCCTGCCTTACCTGAGTACCTGCAGTAGAGTAGGTATGTGTCATTCTCCTGTTGACAAGCATGTAAGTTGCTTGCAGTTTTTTCACTATTATAAATATACCCCTTATGAACCTCCGTATATACCTGGGCAAGAGAAGTAGAAATTCCAGGTGATGGGGTATATGCATTTTAAGTTTAATAGATCCTGCTAAATTACCTTCCAAAACAGCTATACCAGTTTGTATTCCCCCAACAGTATCCAAGAGCACCTGTTTCCCTGCATTGTCTCCCACTTTAGATGTTGTCATTTTGTATATTTAAATGGATGAAAATTCAGTTTATAACTCACTAACATTTCATTAGGAGAATCTTTTCACATCATCAGTCACCAGTTCATTGTTTTTCATTTCCAAGTCCTTTGGATACATTATCCCATTTAATTCTAACAGCTGCCCCTGTATACTATGTACCCATTTAACAGAAGAGACATTGAGGGAAAGAAAGACAAAGCCATTTGCTCAAGGTCATCCTGTTGTTAGGGACTTGAGTCAGAGTTTGAATTAAGGTACATTTAGTTTTAGACATCAAAACAAGTGAGGGACAAGTATCTCTTATCCAAAATGCTTGGGACTAGAGATATTTTGGATTTTTTTATATTTTTTAATATTTGCACATACCTAATGAGACAACAAGATATTTTGGGGCTAGGACATAGGGCTAAACACAAAGTTCATTCATGTTTCACATATGCCTTATACAGCTGAGTGGGATGTCACTCACCCATGATCCCAGCTACTCGGGAGACCAAAGCAAGAGGATCACAAGTTCAAGGCCAGCCTGGGCAACTTAGCAAGACCCTGCCTCAAAATGTTTAAAAATGGGATTTAATTGTAGCTTAGTGGTAGAGTGCCCCTGGGTCAGATCCCCACTACTGGAAACAGTACACACACACCTTATACACATTGCCACATAGCCTGAAGGCAATGTTATATTTTTCCTTTTTTTTTTTATTTTTTAATTTTTTTTTATTTTTTGGTGCTGGGCATCAAACCCAGGGCCTCATGAATGGTAGACAACTGCTGTGCCACTGAGCTATACCCTGGCCCTATTTTATACAATTTAATTTTTTTTTCTTTTTTAGATATGTACATGACAGTAGAGTGTATTTTTACATGTTATACATACATGGAGTATAACTTATTCTAATTAAGATCCCATTCTTGTGGTTGTACATGATGTGGAGTTTCACCATTGGTATAGTCATATATGAAAATAGAAAAGTTATGTCTGATTCATTATACTGTTTTTTTTTTTTTAAGAGAGAGAGAGAGAGAGAATTTTAACATTTATTTATTTTTTTATCTTTGTATGTGGTGCTGAGGATTGAACCTGGGCCGCACGCATGCCAGACAAGCACACACTACCGCTTGAACCACATTCCCAGCCCCCGTTCTACTGTTTTTCCTATTCGCATCCTCCCTCCCTTTCATTTCCCTTTGTCCAATCCAGTGAATTTCTATTCCCTCCCTTCCTCCTTGTTGTGAATTAGCATCAGAGATGTATCAGAGAGAACATTGGGCCTTTGTAGTTGTTTTTTTGTTTTTGTTTTTGTTTCTTATCATTTAGAGATAAATTGGCATTATACTATATGTGCCTTCCTGTGACTTGCTTTTGATAGAAAAGCAAGTCACAGGAAGATAGAACCCGGGGCCTAGTGCATGCAAGGCAAATACTCTACCAGCTAAGCTGTATCCCCAGCCCTGGGCCTTTGGTTTTTGGGGATTGGCTTATATCACTTAATATGATAGTCTCCAGATCCATCCACTTACCAGCAAAAGTCATTAAGTCATTCTTTTTTGTGGCTGAGTAATATTCTATTGTGTATATGTACCACATTTAATTAATCCATTCATCTGTTGAAGGGCACCTAGGTTGGTTCCATAGCTTAGCCATTATGAATTGAGCTGCTATAAACATTGATGTGGGTATATCACTGTAGTATGCTGATTCTAAGTGCTAGGGTATATACTGAGCAGCGGGATAACTAGGTCAACATTTAATATTTTTAGTGTGCTTCCGTGACCCATCAGATTAAGTCAAGAATAGAATTTTCCACTTGTGGTATTATGTCAGTGAGCAAAAAGTTTTGAGTTTTGGATCATTCCTGATTTTCAGATTATGATGCTCAGCGCCTAGTGACTGACATCAGGTAGAAAGTGAGCTCCCTGATTCTGAGCACTAAGTGGGGGCTAAGTGGAGGTCCCTGAGTCAAAATCCTTCTCTTCCTCCTTCCTCACTGCAGAAAATTGACCCTGAGGTATCAGCTTTCCTGCAGAAGCTGCGCAGTCGGGTGCAGATTGGAGTGGTGGGCGGCTCCGATTACTCCAAGATTGCTGAGCAGCTGGGAGATGGGGATGAAGGTAGGAGTGGGCTGCAGCCTGTTCCAGTGGTGAGGGTGGAGGGAACAGGGAGCTGGGGAGTCAGGATATTCCTGGGCACCCCAAAGACCTTGTACTGCTTCTGTGGGGCAAAAGAGGTAGAGAAGCAGCAGCCAGATGCCCCCTTACTGAGTCAACAAGCACTGAGTGAGCCAGTGGCCAGGCAGGGGCTGGGAACAAGTCTGACCAAATCCTGACCTTCTGCAGTTTACATCCTCATGACTCCCTGTTGAATCTAGATTTCCTCCTCTTTAAAATGGGCATTATTGGGGCTGGGATTGTGGCTCAGCAGTAGAGCGCTCGCCTAGCATGGGCGGGACTCGAGTTCGATCCTTAGCACCACCTAAAAATAAAGGCATTGTGTTGTGTCCATCTACACCTAAAAAATAAATATTTAAAAAAAAGTCTGGTAGAATTCAGATGAGAATTCCCAGCTTTAAAAAAATGGACATAATCAATAGTGGCTATGATTTGTTGAAAATTTCCAGGTGTTGCAGGGCACAGTAGCTTAGACCTGTAATCCCAGCCATGAGAGGCTGAGGCAGGAGGATTTCAAGTTCCAGGCTAGCCTCAGAAAGTTAGTGAGGACCTAAGCAACTTAATAAGACACTGTCTCAAAATAAATAAAAGGAGCTGGGGCTGTAGGTGAATGGTAAAGCACCACTGGGTTAAATACCAGTGCACAGAGGGCGGGGAGGAAGTAAGGAAGTGGGGAAGGGAAGCAAAGCAAAGCAAGATAGATGACCAGGTGTTAAAGCTCTCAGGTAATCCTGGCCAGAATAGAGAGATCATCCCGTTTCTAACAGTGGACTAAGTCTCCCAGGAAGCGATTTGGATCCCAGAGCCTTTACTTCAGCTAAGTGGCAGCTGATAACCTCTAGTTCCTTAAACCAGAAACTTCCTTGAATTTTCCTTTTCCCCACATCCCCTTGTTTTTTCCACCAGTGTGTCCAAAATGATCTCCCTCTCCTGTCTACGTCTCCATTTCCAGCACCCCACCATAGTCCAGGTGATCATGGCCCCCACCCCCCAAACCCTGCTGCAGCATCCTGGCCCTGCTCCCTCTGCAGCCCAGCTCACGCACCCCAGCAGCTTCTGTGGGCAGCGAGAGCTGAAAACTCCCCAAGGCAGTCAGCCCAGGGAACAGGGAAGCCCAGAAGGGGAGTCTCCTCTACTGTGGGGCTGTGGGAGCACAGAGTGGAAATGGCGCCCCCTGCTGGGAGTCCTGGAAGGCTTCCAGAGGAAAGAGCTGGATCTTGGAGGATAAGCAGAGGACCTTAGGGGGAACATATAAAGAGCTGGAGGAGTGATTGGCTCATGGGAAAGGAAAAGCTGTGGAAGGAGAGGAGGGCTGGAGAAGCAGGTTCAGGATGGAACCCATGGGCTCTGAAGGCCAAACCCAGGAGTGCAGGCTTCCTCTGCTCTGCTTGCTTGGGGTAAAGCGGGCGCTGATCTCATACTCTCTCTTTCTCCCTGGCTTCTGTGTGGCCCTGAAGTCATTGAGAAGTTTGATTATGTGTTTGCTGAGAACGGGACAGTGCAGTATAAGCATGGACGGCTGCTCTCCAAGCAGGTCAGCACCCCCCAGGATCTAGCCTGCAGTACCCCACTTTTCCCCACTGGGACATTGCACAGGTACCTTCTGGTCTGGGGAGAGATCTCTGCCACATCTGAGAGCCTGTGTCCCTTGTCCAGACCATCCAGAACCACCTGGGAGAAGAACTCCTACAGGACTTGATCAACTTCTGCCTCAGCTACATGGCCCTGCTCAGACTGCCCAAGAAGCGGTGAGGTCCCATCTGGCCTGGCTCCAGAACTTGGGACTTAAGGGAGGAAAAGCGTGGGTCTCCCAGATGGAACCTGGACTCAGTTCCCTGGCTTCCCACTCCCCGTGGTGATGCTGGCATGGTCCCAGGGCTGGAGCATGCTAGCAAGCACCCTACCACAGAGCTGCACCCCAGCCCTGGGCTCCTGATTTAGCAGTGGGTGATTCTTGTCCCCTGTGAAGTCAGGGAGACTGTACTCATTCTCCCTGGCTCTCATTCTCCCTGGCTCCCGCCCTCCTTTCCTGGGCCTTCCTCACCACCAGCGGAACCTTCATCGAGTTCCGGAATGGCATGCTGAACATCTCGCCCATTGGTCGCAGCTGCACCCTGGAGGAGAGGATCGAGTTCTCTGAACTGGACAAGGTGCCACCCACTATGCCAGTGCAGGCCTGTAGGTCTGGGGTCTTTCAACCTCTCTGAGCCTTTATTTTCTCTCAGTAATGTGAACTGTGGGATCGGGGGTGGCCTCGGCTGAACCAGCATCTTTTGATCGCCATGTATCACTGCTATGGGCCCCTTCTTTTGCTGGTTTCCCTTCCTCATGACCTGCACCCCAGCTACCTCCTTCCACAAGCCAACACCTAGGGTGTGTCGTTGCCACCTTCCCATCCCATAGTGTCCAGGATCCAACAGCTCCTGTTCCTTCAGCCTCGGGAACCAGTCTCAAGTCTGCTCAGCTGCAGGCCAACACCCTACTCCCCAGACTACTGTCTTGTCCCCCAGGCTGCCCCCAATCCCTCCCCCTCAGCCTGGTCTGCTCTCCAGCAGTGCCCTTGACAATCTGTTACACATGTCGTCACCCCCCACCCCTGCTGGCAGTCCTTCCCAGGCTCCCCAGCCCCTCTCCAGCCCTGAGGGCTCTGCCGGCTCCTGCTCCACTTCAGCCTCCTCTCAGCATTGGATGTGCATCTGCCCGTCCGCCATGCCCTCTCAGGATGGTGGGCATCTTCCCTGATGCGTTCCCACCGCCCCGTGCGTGCCCTCTCTCACCAGCTGGCTGCCCTCCCCTCTGCCCCCTGCTGCAGCCATGGCCTCCTTGCTTTAGCAGACAGTTTCCCAGGGTGCAGACTCAGCCCCCACCAGCTCATCCACTCACTTCCTTAGCTCTGCTCACATGTCACCTTCTGGTGGCCCTCCCAAGCTTCATGTTCACACCGCACCTCTGTCAGTCCTGCACCGCTGCCCTGTCTTAGCTTCCCCAGCATCCACCGCTGCCCTCTGACCCCCCCCCCACACTGTCTACTTTTAAGATCTCAGTTCCTCTATCAGCTCTCCCCAAAACCATCATCTCCACAGACGTATGTGACTTGTTGGCTGATGGGTCCTGTGTGCCTCATACACAGCAAGTGCCCAGAAGTACTTTTTGTCTTTTTGCAGTGCTGGGGTTGAGCGCAGGCCTCGTGCATGCCAGGCCAGCGCTTGACGCTGAGCCATACCCAGCCTAGGGGATGCCTTTGAATCTATGAAACAAGTGGCATTAATTCCATTTTATGAACGTGAAAATGAAGGCTCAGAGGGGAAATGACATACCCAGGGCCACCTAGGCTGTGGGCTGCAGAGTGAAGACTGATGCAGCCCGCTGCCCACTGGTGCTTCTCTGAGAGGGGAGGGGCTCAGCGACAGGACTCCTACCCTGTGTTGGAGGCTTTCTGTAGGCATGGCCACAGCCACAGGGATCTTTCTGGTTGGAGTGGTTAAGGGCTTCTGGAGGGCCTCTGGCCTCCCTGAGGCCCACACAACCACTGGGAAGGCAGAGCCAGAGCCGGCAGGTGTCCCATCCCTTATATCTGTTTTTCCAGAAGAGGGAAGCACCCTCTTCATTAATCATTTCCCCATGCTTAACCGAGAAAATAGGCTCAGAGACTTCGATGACCTGCCCACGGCCACACAACACAGCAGGCAAGCCTGGAGCCCTGGCAGCCTGTCCTTAGGTCTCTCCAGGTACCACACCACCTGCCTGTGTTCCAGCCCTGCCCAGTCTGTTCAAGGTGGTGCTAGTCACTCTGCTCCCTTGCCCTGAAATCCTCAGTGGCCCCCGGTCCCCCAGAATGTGTTCAGACCTCTCAAGCCAGTCCTCTGTGAGCTGACTGTCCCATAGAGCTCAGTGCTGCTTCCTTTCCATTTGTTCCCGTGCCCCCCCCAGCCCAGAAGCCAAGATGTGTGGCCAGGCTTGCATGTTCCGTGGTCCCCCCAGGCCTGGCCTGCCATGCCCGCCATGGTCTCAGCAGGGTCAGGCCCAGAGCAACAGTTCCCTGCTCCACGCATCAAGGTGCTGCTCAGAGGGGCAGGGGTGGGGGCTCTCCTGGGTCCTGCTGAATCGCTCAGCCCAGCCCACAGAACATGCCCAGTGAATGGGTCCACTGTGAGGCCACATCAGCATCCTATGCCACACCAGTGCTGGGACCTGCTGCTGCTTGGTCATGGTCTTCTGCCCTTGGCCTCTCACACTCATTTGGTGCCTGAGCCTCAGTTTGCTGTTCTTGGGCAGAGCTGATGGGTCTGAACTGTGCCCTAAGGTGGACATGTGATGAGGACTTGGGCTGCCTGTCCCTGGGGCCTTCCTCCTCCCTCCTCTGCTCGCAGGCCTCTTTCAAAATACCCCATCCACACCCATGGACAGGCATCTGGCCAGGTTCATTTCAAGGACCTTCCGGATCAGGCCCTGGCTCTTCCACTATGGCTGGGCACCTTGACTGAACAAGGCAGAGTCCCTCTCTGAACCTCTGTTTCCTCATTTGTAATGTGAGGGTCAGACCCACCTAGAGGACCAATGAGCTTGTGTGGACATATCCTAGCATAGGGCTGGGCCTCCTGAGCTTCTGTCTGCACCCTTCCCTCTGCAGAAGGAGAAGATCCGGGAGAAGTTTGTGGAAGCCCTGAAGACAGAGTTTGCTGGCAAGGGATTGAGGTTCTCCCGAGGTATGTCCATCCCACAGTGGACCTGAGAGGCCTGGCCCAGGAGCCCACCCCTCAGGGCACCCAAGGCACACTGAGCTCCAAGCAGGCAGGGGTTTAGTATTTGCCAGAGCCCAGCACCCCCTGCCCAGGCAGATGCCCCACGCCGGGAGCTGAGCTTTCTTCCTCATGCCTCCTGGGCTCAGTCTGCTTGCACGTCCCAGGGCCAAGGCAGAGGCCTCTGGACCCACACGCTCCCCTCCACCACTGGCAGCACATCTGGACGGCCACATGGCTGACACAACTGATCCCTGACCACAAACTCCCCGTCACCCAGTGGCCAAGGGCGAGACCAGCTGCCAGGCTCAGTTAAAGCCTGTGCTGATCACAGGGTCCCCGGGCTCCTCCTTCCTCCAGACACAACCCAGGGCCTCACCTGGAGCCCAGGCCACAACTTGTTCCTGTTCTCTGAGCCTGAGTGTTTCTGGGCCACTCCTCGCCTCTCCCTGCCTTGGGCACTGCGCTCATCCCCCAGACGTCCCACCAGGCCATGCGGGCTGGGTGAGGCTCCCCCAGCACTCTAAGGGCCTCATCCCTGTGCACCTGAATCAGACTGTCCTTGAAGATCCCGAGTCCGTCACTAGGCAGGCTCCCAGGAAGGAATGAGCAGCCCCCTTGTCTGCCCCACAGGAGGCATGATCAGCTTTGACGTCTTCCCTGAGGGCTGGGACAAGCGCTACTGTCTGGACAGCCTGGACCAGGACAGCTTCGACACCATTCATTTCTTTGGGAACGAGACTAGCCCTGTGAGTGCAGCCCCCTCAGGTTCCCCACAACCCAGACACTGGAGGTCCAGGCCCGGACTCGGGGCAACAGAGCAGACCTCTTGGGGGGGCTCCTGGAGGACCGCCCATGCTCACTAACCCCATTAGGCAGATTGGGCGCCTAGGACCCAAAGAGGGCTGGACACTGGTTCCACAAGTCAGGGCAGGGCTGACACCGCTGTGAACACGGACTTCCTGGTGGCTCCTCCTGGGGTCTGGCCTGGGATTGTGAGGGGAGGGAAGCTCCTCCTCCAGGCACCACCTCAGGGTCTCCTTTGCCCTTCCCTGTGTGCAGGGCGGGAACGACTTTGAGATCTATGCTGATCCCCGGACCGTTGGCCACAGCGTGGTCTCTCCTCAGGACACAGTGCGGAGATGCAAAGAGATCTTCTTCCCAGAGACAGCCCATGAGGCCTGACTGGCCCACACCTGTGCATCTCGGCGTCCACTGAGCCTGACCTTGATGAGGCCAGGGCCCTTCCTTCTCTGGCCCAGGACCTCCTGCGAGGCCCATGGTCCCCAGCCAGTCAGTTCCTAGAGAGACTGGCTCCTGTCCTCCTTGTGCCCAGAGTATCCCCATCTTCCACTCTGGTGACTCTGGCCACAGCTGCTGCTCGTACTTCTGAACCAAGCAGGTCTCCCTCCATCCAGGAGGAGGCGCGTGCTAGAGGAGGATAAGGATCCACCCTGTCCTGCCCTGACCAGACAAGGGGCAGAGTGTTGGGAGGGCACATCTCAGAGAACTTTGTCACATACATTAAAATTCCCAGGATGAGGTGTGGTGTCGGACGCGTGTGAGGGGATGTCTGGCTCCAGTCAATGCTTTATAGCCACCACTTTGCAGATGCGGAAACAGGGACTGGGACCTGCCCGGGTCACCCAGGAAGTGTGATACACTGAAGCCCCAAAGTTGGGTACGTCCTCCCCCAGGGAACCTGCAGGACAAAGGCAGCTCTGGGCCAGTGTAGGTCACAGTCGAGAGTTTATTGCCAGTGTTAGGAAGGATGGGCAGTCCGTGGCTGGGGTCTTGGGAGGACTTCTGACTGGGGCCTGGAGGACCCAAGAATGGGGAGGAGAGCTGCTGCCCACTGCCCCCCAGGCAGCCCCAGGGCACCTAGAAAGGGGGTCTGCTTACAGGAGGGAAGCCTGGCAGGCAAGGAGTCCTGTACCAACAGGGCCTCGGCCAAGAGGGCCACAGGTCCTTATCCTCAGGGACAGGCCTTGCCAGAGAAGCCTAGCTCAGAGGGGGTGTCAGGCTGGCCCTGTCCACTGTTGGGGCTGGCCAGCGCCCCCAGCAGCTCTGGGTTCCCTGCCTCTGGAGTGGGCACCGGGCAGGGGTGAGAAGCAGATGTCCCGCTGACCTCTCGCCTGGGTTTTAGGCACCTACACGGCCACTCACTGATCCCCTCATCTGGGTATTCGAGCCCCCAGTTTTATTTGCAGAGTGGGTCTCCTAATGGCCGCTGTCCTGACGGGCCCTCCCTTGAGCCTGTGACCCCTTTTATGCCACTTTATGTATGCGCTCTCTAGAAGGAGGTGTGGTGGGCAGGGCCTGCCTGGTCTCTTAGGCCAGGCCACCTCTGACAGACACACACATCTTAGTCCCATAGGGACTCCAAGCCTGGACAGGATGAGGACCACCTTGGCTAGGGGCCTGACAGGGACCTGTGGAAAGGGGGTCTGGCCTGGGTTTGCAAGGCCCATGGTCTCCCAGGCTGAGGGCCATCTTTCGGGGGCCTGGCCAGGCCTGGCCTGAGGGGACACGTCAGTCCATCAGCAAGTCCTCAGCAGCTGTCATGGCTGGGCCCAGGGCTGAGCATCTAGAGTTTGGGAGTCAGGATACAGGGGATGGCTCCATCCAAGCTGAGGAGCTGTGTCCCCACTCCTTGCCTTGAGGGGCTCAGAGCCACTGTCAGGCCGAGGGGGGCCTGGCCAGTGAGACAAGAACCCCTTTCTGGAGCTCCTCTTCCCCTGCTGGAGCTAGAGGCTCCCGGAAAGCACTCACCTGCCTGGCTTCTGAGGGAAAGGGGCCAGACCATGGCAGAGACCCCCAGCCCAGGGCAGGAGGCAGGAGCACAAGCAGAGTCTGCCCAGGACCAGGGCTGGGGCCCAGCAGGGCTGTGGGCAGCAGTGAGGGGAGCAAGCTCTTAAGAGAGGGGTCCCCTGAGTCCCTGTGAGCCTGAGGCAGGCTCACAGAAGCTCAGTCAACACGTGAACAGCGGACAGGGGGCAAGAGGGCGGGGTGTGCGCTGCAGGGAGGAGGGAGGAGGGGCAGGCCAAGGCAGGGCTGGCAGCCTCCCCTCCATCCGGCTCCTGGCTGGCTCACACAACAGTCACGGGTCACGGGTGGGTAGAGGCACACACTCACGGCCACGAGCACAGACAGACAGATGGACGTGCACACTGAGGCCGCCCAGGGCTGGTCAGCAGCACTGTGGGGGCACAGGGCCCGCTGCTGCCCGCCTTCCCGGTGTGGCTGCCTCTGCCTAGGAGCCCACGACCTGGCCAGACCACGTCTCATGGGGGGTGTGGGGGGCCAGCTGGGTGAGCACCACCTCCACGGCCTGGAACTTCTGGTTCTTGGGTGGGATGGGGCACATCTTGTAGGTCACCTCGTCGCCTTCCACGGGCACATACTCTCCCTCAATGCTGGTGAATAGGAGAGGGGCGTCAGCCCAAGAGCAGGCCCCTCTCCGGACGCCACTGTGGCCTGGGTGCAAGGCAGCCTGGCCCCAGCCTAGAGAGGCCAAGGAGCCTGGGCCAATGGCCTAGCAAAGTCTCGTCTCTCTCTCTGTGAAACAGGAATCCGACATAGTTCCTTCTCTGGGAGTTGAGGGTGAAAGATCACAGGGGGTGTCTCCGAGATCCTCCATCATGGCATTAGGGGTAGGTGCGGACAGGCCGAGACCCACCTCTCCCCATCATTACGTACCAAAGGCCCCTTCCCGGCTGAGGCCCGGGAGCTGGTCCAGCCCCTCGGGTCCCCACAAGGCTGCAACAGGCTCCCAGGGCTCCCGGGGCTCTGAGGTCTGCATGCCCCCTCCCCCCAGCCCCAGCTGCCTCCTTCCACACACCCCCAGCCCCACCCAAGAGGGACACAGACCTCGCCAGCCTAAGGGGAAGCGGGAGAGGCCCCTCTGAGCCAGGAACAAGGAGGTGAAGGGAACTCACTCAGATACATGCACGAAGATGTCCTCCGATCCATTCTCGGGGGTGATGAAGCCGTGGCCCTGCGAGCGTGAGAACTGCTTACAGACGCCCTTGAACACAGGGCCGGCCGAGGCCCGGGCTGTCCTGGGGATAGGGTAGGGGGATTAGAGCTGCGGCCTGGGGAGACCCCTCTGGAACCCCACCCTCCCTGGGCCCTGCCTGTGAAGCTGGCCTCAGGGCTGTGGGAACACAGAATGCTGCTCATTCAACTTCACATCATTCCCATTTGACTGAGACCCAGAGAGGGAAACTGACTCTCCCAGGGTAGCACAGCAAGAGGGTCTCCTGACTCCTTGCCAGTGCCCCCTGTCTACACAGCACCCTCCCCTCCTTGTTTGGGCTTAAATGGGTTCCTGTTGTAAGAACCTGATGAAGAACGTCCAGCCCTGGCTTGAGTACCTCCCCACGAGGGAACTCGCGCTCCTGAAGCTGCTGTCACCCACGCGTTCCTCACTCATTTTCACTTGCCATTTGCTAAGCATCGGCTCTGTGCCCGGACTTGGGTCTGACACAGGACAGTCAACATTGCCACAGAAAACAAACAATCGGAAAACACCCTTCGGCCAAGCCAAGTCTGCGACCCTGTGGGTCTCACAACCCCCCACTGCGACCCTCATGGCCTCATCCAGTGACCTGCTCCACAGGGCCAGCCTGCCCACCCCTCCCGAAAGGCGAGCCCCGTGCGGCTCCGCCTTCCCGGTCCACCGAGCCCTTCTTCACCAGGTTCACCTTCCCAACCCTGCGAGCAGGCCCTCGTCCCTGGGCCTGGGTTCTCCTTGCCCATCCCTGCCAGGCGTCGATGGTGGGGGACAGGGCCCCCAGACTGTGAGCCACTGCGAATGGGGCTCTTGTCGGGGCTCTTGTCTCACTCATCCCTGGTCCCTGGTCAGGAGCTCAGTACATTTTTGTGGGATGAAGGAATAAACATGGAAGCTACTGGAAGCTCCAAACACAGCTTCTCCATCCTCAGGTGAGGACAGTGGGTGATAGAGCATGGGAATGGGTGGGGTCAGCCCCGTCCTGAGGGAAGACCAGGGACTGAGCCAGGAGCCATACTCACGCTGAATATGTCCTCGTCCGTTTGGTCGGCAGAGGGCTGGGCAGGTCCCGAGAAGCGACTCCGCCTCGTTCCCAGACCCTGCTGCCCTCCCTGTGGAAAGGGAAGGTAGGCCAGACAGGGGACTTGGGGGAGTGGAGTGGGGGCACCACAGGAGGCGACGTGGGCTCCGATGTCATGGTGGGGCCAGCAGGAGAGCCTGGTGGGCTCTGTGGCTCGGGGGCCGGTGAAGGGTTTGGGCGTCCTTGCGGGCAGGGCCCGGCCTGGCCCTGCTCGGTGGCCTTGCCAGCCACAGGCTCCGTCTGCAAGGGAGAGAGGGAGGCATGGGTGAGTACTGCGGGGTACGCTCTGCATGCTGGGGACAGCTCTGCGCGCTGGGCACGAGGAGGGAGGGCGGTTCCCGCCTGCCGCTCCTGCAGCATGGCCTCAGCCTCTCAGGCCTCTCAGCCTCTCTGTCCACCAGGAGGACACAGCGGTCATGTCAGAGTTGGGTGCAGCTCAGGGGTAAACCACACGCTCAGCCTGTGTGGGGCCCTGAGTTCCACCTCAGCACCAAACAAACAAATGCCATGTAGCCCCAAGTGCTTCAGCTTGCAGTCCAGGCTTCTAACCCAGGGGCTGGGGAGGCGGAATGCAGGGTGGCCAAGATGTGAATTGTGTTTCAAGTTCACAGCTCTAGGTTCAAACCCCAACTCGGTCACCTACAACTTGGTGATCTTAAGCATGACCTCTGCAGACCCACATGGTGGCCAGGGGTGCGGACTCCAGACCTGACAGCACGGGTTTGAATCCACCTACCTGCTCTGGGGCCTTGATCGACACTCTTGACCTTTTGCATCATTTGCTCTAAAATTTGGGTATAGGTTGCTTCTTACTTCATAGAAAGGTTACTCTGAGGGTTAAATACATGCCTAAAACCGGACCACACTTCCACACTTGCCTAGCAAGCACAAGGCCCTGGGGTTGATCCTCAGCACTGCAGGGGACCGCGGGGGGGGGGGGAAGGGGGAGAGAGGGAGAGAGAGAGAACAAGACCAGTGCACCATGAGCTCTTGGGAATGTGGGCTATTTTTCCTTAGCCCAGTTTCAGCCTCTCAAAATGAGGCTGAAGGGCTGGGGGTGTAGCTTAGTGAAGAGCGCTTGCCCAGCATGTGAAGCCCTAAGCTCCATCTCTAGTACAGCAGCAAAGAAGAGGAAGAAGCAAAACGAGGTCAATAGTGTCATGTGAGGATATGGAGGATGAAATGATGCGTGTGGGCCAGTGCCTGGCATCCTGAGAGACCCAATGCACCCATATTGTCAATGCAAATTAATAGAAGTCCCCAGTCAACAGCTGGTGCCTAGATGACCTTGAGAAAACCCACCCTGTGTGTTTCTCTACTGAGGAAAAGGGTCAAGAAGTCCTGGAACCCAACTAAAGCTGCTGAAGAACCCGGGGAGGGAGAAGCACTTGCCCAGTTGAGCCGGGCGGCCTGGGCCCAGGAGAGCTCTCGCAGGCTCCTTATCAGCTGTTGATCCTGGTGGCATTCCATTGGCCTCTGTTTCTGATAACGCCTGCCTCACCCCCTCTGAGGCTGTGGTGGGTCTTGGCTATGGCTTCTCAGGAGTTCAGAGTCCAAGGGCAGGAAGACACCACCTAGCAGGGCTCCAGAGCCTAGGAGCCACTGGTCCACCCTGTCACTGCAGCATGTCCCCTGGCTTCTGCCCCAAATCACACAGCAAGTGAGAATTTTCTGGGCCAAGATGGTGAGCTGGCTCTGCATCCCTGGAGGTGGAGGTGGGGAAGAACCCTCCCGCCTCCCACGCTCTCCCCATGCAGCCGGGGAGGGCTGTGGGGCACTCAGCTTGGAGCTTACTCCAGGAGTTAGGGGGCTGGGCTTGGCATTTTCATCCCCATTTTATTTTTTTATTTTTCAAATTGATTGATTGCTGCTGCAAATGCATGCTAGGCACGCACTCAACCACCAAGCTATGCCCCAGCTCCTCATCCTTTTTTTTTTTTTTTTTTTTGGTGGCGCTGAGGATTGAACCCATGGCCTCCTGTGTGTGAAGCAAGCACTCTACCAACTGAGCTATGTTATTGTTATTTTTTGAGACAGGATCTCACTACGTATGTGCCCAGGCTGGCCTAGAAAGCCTAGGCTCAAGCAGTCCTCCTGCCTGGGTAAAATATACTTTCCCCCCACTTTTTGAAGTGCTGAGGATCAAACCCAGGGTTGACCTAGCTCACACATGCTAGGCAAGCACTTTACCACTGAGTCACACCCCAGCCATGTGCCCCTTAGAAGAAAAAAGGGCTAGGGATGAAGCCTAGGGATAGGGCGCCTGCCTGGTGCCTGGCATGCATGAGGCTCTGGGTGACATCCCCAGCACCGCAAAAAAAAAAAAAAGAAAAAAAGAAGTAAGGAGAAAAGTGAAAAAAGAGAGAGAGAAGCAACCACACAAAAACTTTCAGCCAATGGGGCTGGGATGGTGGCTCAGGGGTAGAGCACTTGCCTAGTGCCTGTGAGGCACTGGGTTCGATCCTCAGCACCACGTAAACAAAAATAAATAACATAAAGATATCGTGTCCACCTACAACTTAAAAACAAATTCATTTCATAGCAACTCTATTAAAAAAAAGTCAAAAAATAGAAACAACCCAAATGTCCACCAACAGATGAACAAACTGAGGTACAGCCTTATAGAAGGACATCGCTGGGCCGTGAAAAGACCCGAAGTAGCAATTCCCACCACACCGCAACACAGGTGAACCCTGAACACGGGTCGCCAGGCGGAAGAAGCCTTTACAAAGCCCACACATTGCCTGATTCCATTTACATGCAATGACCAGAAGAGGGGCTGTGGGAGGGGCCAGGGCAGAGATTTTTTGTGTGTTTTGTGGTGCTGTAGATGGAGCCCAAGGCTTCGTGAACACCAGGCAGGCCCTCGACCTCGGAGCCACACCCCGGCCCCAATCTCACACATTAAGCAGGTGGATTGTAAGGCCTATAAATAATATCTCAACAAAACTGTTACCAAAAAAAAAAAAAAAGACAGGCAGCAAGCTTCCCCAAAATGCCCCATCTGGGGAGGCACTAGGTGCCAGGCCTTCCTTGGACAGCCTACCCCACCTGGGCGAAGGCTGGCAGGTGGTGAGGACAGAAGCCTGCCTCGGGCTCTCTGGGAAGCAGGGCATCCAGGCCTCCCCGCTGCAGTTTTCCCAGGCCTGGAGTTGTGCTTGGCAGTGACAGCCGGTGATGGGAAGTCCTGGGGGGAATGGGGGAGGGGGACAGAGTCCAGCGGTTACCAGGGAGACGCAGGCACTGAGCAGGGGACTGCTGAGCCAACCAGATGCCCATTGCTCCCAGGTCAGCCAGGTGACCACCACTCCAGACTCCACATTAAGTAGGCAGTGGGAAGGGTAAAGCGAGGACAGCCTCCCTGCCTCCTCTCCCAGGGTGGGGGCTAGAAGCAGCTGAGACCAGTGGGGGCGGGGATAGAAGAGCCACAGAAGCCCTTTCCCAGGAGAAGGTAGGAGGCACTTCGGGGCATAGCTGCGGGCAGCTTCCACCATGCAGAGAGCCAAGGCCCTACAGCCTGCCCCTCCCACCAGCCTCCTCTCTCCGTCCAAGAAAAGGAACTGTGTCTTGAGGATGGACGGGATGGACAGGGTTCGCTCCTCCCAGGCGGGCTGTTTTAGGTTTGGAGGTGCTGTGGGGGCACAGGGGCCCAGCTGGCCTTTCACTCTTACCCTCCTTGGGACTTGCCCACTGCTGGGTCCCTGCCCCTCATACCTTCAGTTTCTTTCTCTCTTTTTGGGGGGGCTCTGGGGATTGAACCCAGGCCTGTGCATAGTAGGCAAGCGCTCCACCAACTACAGCCCAGCCTGAAGTTTCTTTTTATTCAATTCCTGCTGCAGGCCTCTGACCCCATTTTGCAGACAAGGAAACAGAGGCTCAGAGAGATTCAGTCACTCAGTCAGGGCCACCATGTCTGAGCCAGGACTTAGGCCAGGACAAGCTGACCGGGGGGGCCTTACAGTGGGGAGTCAGGAGCCCTGTGAGAGGCCCCATGATGCTGTGGACTTGCTGTGTGACCTTGGAGAGGGCTCTGGACTGGGAGGAGCTGCTCAACACCCAGCAGCCTGGGAGGTGAGGGAGATGGGGTGGGGACACAGAGCAAGCTTCCATTCAGACCCCGTCTCCAGAGGGTCACGGTCAAAGAGGACAGGGGAAATGCTGAAGGGTTTGCTGTCCCAATGCCTCCCACTGTACAGGGCTGTAAGGGACTGATTTCTGTTCTGAAACCTTCCACTCGCCCTGAAAGGCTAAATTACAATTGTTTCCATTTTATACATGAGGCAGCTGAGGCTCCCAGAGGTTAAATGACTCACCCACAGTCACACAGGTAAGCAGGCCGGTGACAGAGCCCAGAACTGTCAGATGGAGAGCCAGTGTTCTACCTATGAGGATCAGTTCTGTTCCTGGTTCAGCCGGGTTGAGGCTGGAATTTTCCCAAAAAGAACTTTCCCTGAGAAACTAAAGGCAAAAATAAACTCCCCTAAGAGCAGAGAGACAGAGACTTGCTTCAACTCCAGGAAAGGCCATCCCTAGAGGGATCTGGTGTCTGTTCGGGGGGCTTTGGTGTCTGGAATAATTCCCTTCAGAATCAGCTCCTGGCAGCAGGGGGGCTGCCCAGGCTGGATGGGCCTCTGCAGCACTTGCTCAGCGACCCTCCCTTCCGGTCTCAGTGTCCTCATCAGGACACCTGCTCAGGGCAGAGCCGGGGCCATGTCCCTGTGGGAGGGTATCTCCCAGGCCACAGGCTTTGGTTCTGACCCTCCAGTCAAGCTGGTCTTCACTGCCCTGCATGAAAGCCAAACTCCAAGGGACCCTGATCTACCAGTGGGGGGTCCAGGGATACAAAAACAAAACATCAGGCCTATTTGGAGATGACCCAGGTGTGATGCAGTGTCATAGAGCCATGGCACTCTGAATGGTGACTCAGCCCTGGCAGCAGGTGACCATAGCCAGCTGGGGCTCTGCTCTAGTTCTCAACTCCCCTCCAAAAGAATGGAGCAGAAATGGTTGCTATGGTCCTTCCCCACCAGGGGAGCTGGGGGAGAGCAAACCCAATGCTGTGTAGACTAGCACATGTGGGACTAGCACATGTCCCTCTCTGGGCTTCAGCTTTATCTCTAGCTACATGAATCATGGCTGTTCCAGATGATTGAAGAAGGTCAGTCCACCTCTCCTCTGAGGTTGTCAAAAATATACATAAGGGGGCTGGGTTGTGGCTCAGCGGTAGAGCGCGCATCTCA